TAGTTGATTAGTTTTTCATTCCACTAGGACTTCAGTATCTACCTGAACCTTGTAAGAACCATAGATAAACCGTATAAACCACACATGTCACCTCCGTTCAGGGATGACAATTAGGGCTAGGTTTCTTCTCTCGTTCAAGCTCACATTTTCACATGCAAAACTCACTTGGTTACGGCTGGAAACCCTCAGCTAGCCCGTATGGTCACATATCAGCTGAAAACCATCGGTAGATCTCATTAGATCTGATGAAGATCGTGACCCACAAACACGGGTACTTAACACCACTGTGAGGCTGTTCCTGATAGTTCCCCTCCTTCCCACTTTCCAACCACTTTTTTTATTCCTTTGTCTCTCATACCCTCTGGTTCCGATACAATAGATCAGTCTATTCTGCCGTGCAAAATATTACACCATGGCTTCGCTGCTGGACATCGGACTGGACGACTTTGGTCGGATGTCAGACATCGATGCGACCGGTTTGTTTGGGGCGGCTTTTCCATCGGAGCTGTCACACCTGAAGAATGCAAGTCCTACTGTGGAGACTACCACAGCGACTCCGAAGGGTCGTTTGGGGGAGGGTGAAAATGAAACACCCTCGACGGTCCTCTATGGAGAAAACTTTGCGGAAGTTAACCGTACTCTTGTCAGCATGCTAGCGGTCAAATGGCTCCTCGCAGACGACTATTCGACCTTCACCGCTGGCCAAAAAGACGATATCAAACTCACACAGAGCTCGTTTCGTCATCTACGAGACTTCTATATCCATCGCCTGCCCACGGCGGACGACCTCCATACGCTGTTGATTGCTATGGTGGTTGATGACATAGGGAAGGATTCCCATCTCGCTGAGGAAATGAAACAACAAACCGGTGACTCAGCCGGTGCAGACCACTCACAACTGGTGTTCAAGGCAGCCCAAATGGGCCTTGTTCCTGCGCTCAAGATGGTCCCAACCAGTCTACAGAATGATATTCTCTGCTGCCTTCAGATTGGAGCAACGCTGAATATCTCTCAGGTTGTACAGGGCGAGTGTCCTCCTGCCAGCCTAAGTATCCTACAGCACCTCGGTCAAGGACGAGGATTTAGTCTGCGGGCCATGGTGACCTTCCTTGATGTTGCTGGCGCAGGAGGCCACGCAGATACTCGCGGTTGCATTGTGATGACCGAACCGGTGTTTCAAGGGTATATCGTGGCAATGGAAGCTTTAGATGATTTTGCCAATGGCCGGATACTCTCTCCGCGCGCATGCTACGATCGCATCCTTGAAACGAGAGCGAAAGACCTTCAACGGCAAGGCTTTAGTCTCCCATCACTAGCGGATGAGGCGCGAGCGCTCCTTCGGCTGCTTTGCATGGGGCGTGTTACCACCAAAGAACAGGCCGAACAATTCAAGCAGGCGTTCAGCCAGCTGTCACCATCAATCAAGCAGGATTTAGTGAGCGGACTCAATGTGGATGGCACAGACGATGGAGTTGCGATCGTTCCGTACTACGCCCCAGGACTCCTGATCAGTGCCCTCAAAAATACCGCGGATAAGACTGATCACACCATGATTCCAGTGCTATCTGCATTCATGCGATTTCTAGCAAGGGTCTTTGACGGGTCTAAGCCACAGCCAGGAGCCCCTGGTACTGTTATCGAGCATGATTTGTCATTCGTGCAGGAGACAATCAAGAGTAGTGGCTTTCGGAATAATCCTGAGCTCTTGGATGAGGTCGTTCTCCCGTGGAAAGACCCAGAACAACACAAAGGATCTAACTAGAATGATTAAATGGCTCTTGTTTGCACAGCAAGAACCTTATATAATAAAGAGGACGCGATGATCTTAGCTAGGTGTTCTATAACCAAAATAAAGAGGGTCAGTAGCCTACCCATACACCGTCGACTCTAAATAAGTGACTATATTCAACAAGGAACATCATGTGAAAAAGCCAACGAATGAATGTTGTAGAAAGGATATTCTCATAGAAGCTCTCTCTTACCTCAGATTCTCCACCGAGTCCATTCTACCTACCTCTAAAAGCATATCATGTGGAGTGCGTGGAGTGGTAGTCTGCGGTCTATCTTCATCGTCTACCCATGTGATCGAGTGCTAGGAAATCGCCTTTCCACGAAGCTCTGTTTTCGATGCCATATGGCCGTATATGCTGCCGAAATCTCCCCGTATATACGTAGATTTTGAATACAGTCTACTCTCTTCAGACTCGGATATTGTTTGGATCCTGTCCTGGCGTGTGCTTGAGCTCTGTGGAGCAAGCTCTATGACTCTGAGATCATCCCGAATCAAAGTAAATTACAGAAATGATTTTAGACAGGAACTATTGATATTCCGATTCTAGTCCTGATATAGACTAATGAGCCTCAGAGCATTAGGGATGGAGAATCAATCGTGGAGTGTAGGTGGTCTGTAACGTTCTGTCGACAAGATGTTCTCATCAACTTTAAGTTACTAAATATTTGTTTATTTCAATGAAAAGCCTAGTTTTGATTATCCACGATTGCCACCAGTACCACCATTACGCTGTCTTGGGACGGAACACTGTGTAGGCAATGAACGGAAGAAACCATACAAATGGCTGGGTTTTGATAAAACCTAATCTTATATAAAGAGCTCTTAGCGTTTATAAACCTACTAAGTTGTCTAAATAAATTTTTATATAGCTGTTCACAAAGTTCTTTAGTAACACCCACTTGGTTCCACGCTTGGCTTTTGAGCTAGCTAGTCTTTCAATTGTGGAATCTAATTTGATATGCTGTACTAAATGATATAAGTTAATTGTGATGGATCAACTCTGCCTGCTGCTTTATATATAGCTCCTGGAGCCTTCTAGACTCCATCCTTCATGTTTCCCTGAAAATTATATTATAGCTTCTTATTTTTGAATTCTAGCGGTCAACTTTACATTGAGTACACATCAAGTTTGGATTGTCGTAAAATTCCTCGGACTAAGATATATATTTCCATGTCATAGGCTTCAGGCCTACTAGGAACATAGTATATCGACGTACCTCGAGAATCCAACACAAATTCAATATCCACTAATATGACAAGGCCTCTAATGGTCAAAAAGATCCAATGTGATGGGAAGTGGAAGATTGGATGTATGTCTGAAGGTGGCCCGAGAGGGAGACTTTGGGCAACTTCCACGCACACACCTGCAAGAATCAACCAAAAAAGAGCAAGTGGACTCGACTCTATTTCAATGGCCATAGAATCCAGGGCCCTCCTCAAATTCCTTCCCGATGGGTCTTCTATCCGCTCTCAGCGACGCGGTGTCCGCCATCGCCAAGCCAACCTCCGACGACCCCATTCTTCAATGCGGCGATGAGCTACGCTCCCTCCTGCTCACGAACTACGAAAAGGCGAAGGATGCTGCCAACACAAAACTACATGTCTTCCCATTCAAAAATGTGCAAGAGTGCTGGCGCCGGCTCTATACCGACGCGTCCATCATTCACGCCTGCGTCATCGCCTCCGGCCTGAGCTCGGTCAGCTCAGAGCCAGACTTCAACGTGTTACAACAGATACAGAAGCTCAAAGATGCAGGGACAGAGCTAACAGTCAGTCTACACGCGCCATGGCTATCACAGGTCGTGGAAATCCTCGATAACGCGTTGATCATGACCGGTGCACCCCGCCGCGAGAAGCTCATTGAATCATTACTGTCCACGCTGGAAGTCGCGACAGAACCCCAAGAAGCCGAAAATGACAGCAACGAAGATATGAGACCTTTTCACGCCAAGCGCCGAAAGCTCTCGCCGCCTCTTTTCCCTCCAAATGCTCTCCCTGAACCCCGCCTGGAGTTCCCCATCCCGCGATTATCGGCACCCTCTTTTGATTCCATCGAACGCCATATCGAAGATGTACGCACCCCGTTAATAATCACAAATGCGCTCGACCATTGGCCAGCTCTGTCAGGACGTCCTTGGGCTTCGCGAGACTACTGGTGGAAACGCACCCTCGAGGGTCGCAGACTAGTTCCCGTTGAGGTGGGAAGGTCATACACCGACGAGGACTGGGGGCAAAAGATCATGCCATTCAGAGAGTTCGTGGATAAATACGTATGGCCGGGGAAGTCAACCCCAACTGGCGTACGGGAAGGCCAGGGCCAGTCCCAGACCGAAGATCAGACCGGAGAGACGGGATACCTGGCGCAACACGACTTGCTTTCTCAGATCCCTGCTTTACGCAATGATATCAGTATCCCTGATTACTGCTATATCACTCCACCGGGTCCAGAGCCTGGCACGCCAGTGTATGAGAAGAAGGAGCGTGAGCGTAGGGAGGCCAGGGAACAGGCATCAGAGAAACACCCTGGTCAACATGGAGCTCGACGAGGCTCACTGCCAGATAAGCAAGAATATGACAACTCGGACGCGGATTCAAGCTTAGGTCTGCCCAGTGACCCGATCATCAACACATGGATTGGTCCCTCGTGGACTATCTCCCCTCTCCACCATGACCCCTACCACAACATCCTCGCGCAGGTTGTGGGAACTAAGTACATCCGCCTGTACTCACCACACACGCCTGCCTCCCAGATTCACCCACGCGGCAAAGAAACTGTTACCTCTGTTGATGAAACGGCGAACCCAGATCCGGTAACCGGGGCTCAACCACTAACTACGAAACACATTGATATGTCCAATACCTCGAAGGTCGATCTAGCCTCTATTGAGCTTTCTCCTGCTGAGTTCGAGCAGTGGGAAGAGATGTGGCCCGGTTTTATGGACGCGCCTTATGTCGAAACCGTGCTCCATGCGGGCGAGTGCCTGTACATTCCTGTGGGATGGTGGCACTATGTGCGTGGATTGAGAGCTGGCATTAGTGTTAGCTTCTGGTGGGGGTAATGTGGTTGATCAAGAGGTCCCTTTCGATGTGTTATGTCGGAATGAACGTATTGATTCCATGCACAGCATATGTACATATGCAAATGATATCCCATCAAATGACTTCAATGACTCCATATTACTTCGATGTTGTATCTACGAGATCGCATCTACGTCCTAAATACATCTAGCTCCAACCCGCCACCAACTCACAAAGAGTCTCCTCCCCACCCACATTCCCAGGGAAAACAACAAACGGCACGCTTCGATGGCGACTAGTTTCCTCATCGCACCGCCACAGAGGCACGCCAGGTGCCGCCTGACCAACAATAGTAGCACGCTTGATATTCAACCCCTTAGTCGCAGCATCAGAAGAAGTAATACCTCCCTAGGCGATTGTCAGTACTCCACTCAGTCAAATCACCAGTTCACAACCAAGCAGAAGACAAATAGAACTATACCTTAGCAATAATGAACCGAGGCTGCACTTCAATCCGCTGCAAAACACTAACAAGCGCCTCAGCAACAGCAGATCCGATCTTCAACGACGACAACTCATCACCGCCAGTAATAAGCTTCCGGCTCGTCATAACGAGAGTGTCCTTCCCAGCACGCAGATAAGACTCTGTTTCCCGAACAACGCGCTGCACAGTCTGTGACGCAGTCTCAGGTGATGCAATCAGCTCGTCAACCTTCATCTCGATGATTGCTAGCTCGCCCGTTGCGCCGCGGCGGTCTGTCAATACTTTCAATTGGGCTGTCGTTTTGGGGACATATGATCCCGCAATGATCAACCCGCCAGTTTCTCGTGGCGAGGGGAGGTTCAGCTGTGCTGCAGTGATGGGTGCTTTGGAGCGGATGCCCAGTCTGGTTGAAACGAAAGCTGCACCTGTGCGGTAGAGGAAGTGCTTCCCCTTGGATTCGGCTGTGAGAGAATACATCAGTCACCTTCTTCCACGTATTGGCTTTCCTGTTTAGGCAGAAACAGGGATATCTCCAAACATACCAAGCAACAATCCCGCGACAAAGACATGCATATCAGACTCCGCAGCGGCATTAACAATAACCACCCCACCACCAGGCGCCGCAAGCAATTTCTCACAAACAGCCTGCGGCCCTCCAACCCGAATATCCTGAATAGACACCGAACACAGTTGACCAGGATCATACCGGCCTGGAGCCTTCTCCAGCACATAATCCCTCAAATTGGAACTCTTATATCCAAAGGTAGCATCCTTCGCAAATTGCGTCATACCGGCTGGAACAAGATCCTCGCCCTCAGCAACATAATGCACATCATCAATAGTGAACCGACCACCCTGAAAAAAGAACGGCGCAAGGACCAGCGCGTCAGCAGGCCCAAAGACAGACTGTGCAACGTCCGGTTCAAGCGGGAAATGACCGCGGAGAGTGCTATCGCCGCGTAGGACGATGTCGACCTTTTGGTTTGTGGCTCTGGCGACTTGGGCTATGTTTGTGCAGATTGTGCGGATGAGGGATTCTGCTTCGGTTGGTGGGAGGGCGCGCGAGTTTGTTAGGATGAAGAAGCCTGGTTTTGGGCTATGGAATTCCGTTGTTAGGGTTGCGATGTCCCAAACTGTTAGGACTGAGATGTCGTGGCAGGTTTGTGTTCCTGTTGGGTCGTCGTCTAGCACTACTAAGCGGTTTATTGGGGTTGTTGAGAGGATTTGGGTGATTTGATCTTGGGTGTCGGTGGGATACTCGGTGGGGAGGTTGGCGAGGGTGGTTTCGCGGGGGAGGGCTGGGTATTCGCGAGGTTGGGACATTGTGGCGATTGCTATATAATCGGGATTTAGTATTTCCTATGGGATCGGAAGCAATTGAGTCTGTAGGATCGGTATTTAAAGAGTTGAAAAGTTGACAGGAACGCGGGGATGCGGGGAGTTGGAGAGTCGGAGAGAAGGCCGAATATTGCACAGATTGATGCAACTATGGAGTATCAACTATGAGTATGGACTTTAGATAACAGACATTTCATCAAACACCACAAAACGCCGGAGACAGATGCAATGGCAGTGATACAAGCCCATTCCACTGTCCCATATTCCCTTTAAGCTCATCCCATGCAAAGACAGGTCGTAGACTGCGTGAACGATCGTTGGTGATTTAGCCCACCACGCTGCGGAAACTCAGTGCCTCGAGGAAGCCGCCGAGATCATCCTTCTGAACCTCGACAACACAGTGTTCGAAGCTGTCAATGCGAACACGGGCATTGGTCTCCTGGACTACCTCTTGGAAGGCAATTCCGAATCTGTTGCGAAGGAGATGCTTCTTGCCCCGGGGATCTTCCTCGTCTTCAGACTCGGATTCCGATGAGGATTCGGACTCTTCTGATTCTTCTTCTTCGGCGTCGCTGCCGTCTTCTTTCTCGGCACGCTCAGCCGCGCGCTTGGACCGACGGTCCGCCTTCTCCTTCTGTTTCTTGTCCTTGGCTTCCTTCTTCTTCTTTCGTTCGTCTCGACGTTTAGACATGGCCGCGAAGTCGACAACGCCACCACCTCCACCGGTGCCGACAACCACATATAGATCGCGGTCTTCATCGAGGCCAGCGAGGACAAGAGGTGTCCCGGCTGCTCGCTTGCGACCGATCTTGACGGAATCACCACGTTCTTTCTCTTGGACCCGAATGGCCTCAGCTATCCATAGGGCCAATTTAGTCAGGGCTCCGGGATTAGTAAACAGCTTGACGTCAGGTCCATCTTTAACCACGGCAATACGGAATGCGCGAAGGTGGCGGATTTGATGCTTGGAGAGCAAGGAGGTACCAGTGCGAAGGATGGCACGGTGTAGATGCTGAGCCAGTGGCAAAGATTCAAGGAGAAGTGTGGGCGACTCAGATGTTAATGAAAGGGCGTCGTAGGCGCTCCAGAACCGTGGAAGAAGGCTTGTTAGATCGGATTCAGCCGAGGCCACGCCGCTCTCGGTATCGTCATTTCCACGCGCTCGAGGAAGACGTCTGGAGTCCCAAGAAGGGGAAGCTTCATGCGGCCCGACCTCTAGCATTGCACCCACGATAACACCCACGTCCGTGGCAGACAGGCACGCCTTCCAGCCCCAGCAGCGTACGAAGCCCCAGCCTTCACGAGCACTGGCACTTCCAGCACCCTCTGCGGGCACAAGGCCATCTAGGCCATACATGGGGGCGTATTTGAGCAAACGTGACCGTAACACGCGCTTCAACTCCATGTCCATGTGGGTATAGTATTGGTGACATTGAGTCAGACTAATGCCCATCTTGGCCAGAAGTTTGTGTAGTCGTTTGCGGCCATTTTCTGTCCAGACATGCAGTCGTGGAGCGAGGTAGGGACTGTGTAGCATACTCTCGTACAATGACCAATGTCGGACAAGAAGGAACCGAGGCTCTGGGGAAAGGCGAATGGACGTATCAGTTGGTGATCGAGCGGTTGTTGGAATGACACCGTTGATCTCTCCTCGGATATCACGATCTCGTTCTAAAGGATCAGGTGGATTTAAACGGTGCACTTCATCGCGAAGTATTTGGCGGATGTGTTCACCACGTTGTCCACCCCAACCCGCAGAACCTCCCGATTCTGATGTGTTGGAAATTCCCACACCCGTCATTGTTCGACCGCTGAGCTCCAAGCTAGAAACACCGACAATCGCGAGCCATAGCAGGTCGTTGTCATCTCGTCCGAGCTCGGATGCCAGCGAGTAAATTAAAGACGAAATGGGTTCGGAATATGACGTTCCAGAGGAGTAGTAATTTTGCAGGACCGAGTCGTGTCTTCTCTTGAGATTAAGCAAACGTTTCTTCAAAGTTCGTGCCGATGGTTGCTTTGTTTCTTCTGGTGATGGCGAGTCAGTGGTCGGAGTCGCAGATCGCGACGAGTTCGAAGAATTGAGACCCGTTTTTCTTCGACGGGTCGGAGACGAGGCAATAGAGGATCCCTGTCGCAAGTTAGAAGATAATTGACCCATATGGAACGTAGTCGCATACCGAATTACTTCTCCTCCGTTGGTGGGGTGGCTCATCGCCATCGGAGTCCTCATCATCCTCGCGACCTGACCAGGATTTACGCTTCTTGGACCCTGTGTGCGCATCGTCTTCGGCATCATCGTCACTGGCATCGTCATCGTCGTCCACATCGGGCATCTCTAATAACGCGTAATATGCCTCCCGCTCATTGCGGAGCTCCTCCTCGATGTCTCCGTCGTCATACACGACAATGCCGCCGTTCTTCGACGTGTAAGCAGGAGTGATGCAACCTTTGTCCACACCGCGGCCTCGCCGTCGCGCATTGGCATCGATTTCCGCCATTTCCTGGCCCATGCCAGCCTGTCCGCCGAACACGTTCCCCAGGTTCCACGGCCGTCGCGCGTCAAACACCCAAATCTCCACGCCGCCCATGTCCTCCACTTCGTCTTCGGGGTTGCTCAGCGCAAGAATCTCTCCCAGATCAACCAGGCCGCCTACGCCAAGGCACACGACTACACCTCCGCTGCCGCCATTGGTGGTCTGCATCGGCCGGACCAGCTCCTCCCCCGCGCGCGCCAGGTCGCCATAACCAGCAACCGGTTGGATTTTGTGAGGGATATAGTCGCGTTTTAACAAGGATGTAAGGATTCGGCAGGCACACAGCGCGTCTGGTTCCAATGCCACGAGAATCAGGACCGGTGGAGAGAGTGGGTGGTGGGATCGGAGGAGTTGTAGGTAGAGGTGTGAGATGAGCTGCCGAGGGAGATACATGGCCAGCTTGGGATATTCAGAGACTCATGCGACAGCTCATGAAGAAGAGCTCGTAAGAATAAACTCAGCTAAGGGGCGAATTTGTGGTGAGTATTGGGGTGGAAGCCCTTGCAGCAGGACTCTCATAGCGCCGGGGAAGCGGACAAGCGCGACGCGTCGGAGGCACGTGCCAGATTCCATACCTTCATCACCTCGACAAAGACGGAGTATTTGCACCCTTTCCATGTTATGTCTTACTCCTGAACTCCTTAATTCTTGGTTTATCTGGGTATAGATCTACTGGTTATCTTTTTATATTGTCGCGGTTTATGAAATCCAACTGAACGCGCTTCATATCTATGCGAAAAATAGATCACATAGTCCACTCCGACAACCATCTATGTACTTTCTCTTTTTTTGTGCTTTCGCTCAAGTAATATTCAATGATTTATAAAGCGAAGACTTGCATCCCCCTCTCTATCTGTGGGAACACATCCTGGCAAACATTTAATCTATTTTCAAGCCGTTATCTCTAATTGGCTCTCGACATCGAGACTCATATATCCGTTTTGGGCACCTCCAATGCTTTGAGTCTTCTTTGACATCTTGCTCTGATGCATATATTTCACAGATATAAATGTTTCAAAAAGACTATATAATATCAACACAGTTTCTCCCAAAGTAAATCAATCTTCTGCAGAACCTCCACCGGCAATGGCCGTTTAGAAGCATTATCCACATGAACAACCTGTGAAATCTTACTAGCACCCAAAAACGCACCATCCATAGAATGGTAGTATATCCATCGTAGACAAGCCTGAGATCCTGAAATTCGAAGTGGCTCGATGGTATCCTGAAGGTCGGTAATAGCAGCATGCATCTCCGGCTTATCGTACATGCTACTATAACATTGGAAAGCGGTGTTTCCTGGCGCGAATCTGGTACCGGCGACGTCGCCGCGAGTCATTCTGCCTGTTAGAAAACCGCCTGCGAGGGAGATTTGGTCAGATCTAGCGTGTGTAATGCAATATGTGCGACAAACCTATATGCTTGGAAGGCAATTCCACATTGACGGAGAAGTGGAAAAGGCTGCTCACTGCCCCGGCTGAGAAGATTGTATAGACCTTGATACACGCTTGGCTTGATATAACTACCCGCTTACGTCTCAACATAATTAAATCAGAGGATATCATTCGAATTCGATAAGGAAACAAAGGTAACTCCTTGCGCCATTGACATGCTGTATGCTCCCGGGCTATCCCAACCAAAGTACAATGCTCTAAGCCCTGATGACTGAAGAAAAACAAGCTTCCCAAAAGACAAGAGAAGGTGAACAAGTCGTAGCCACTAGCTAGTGTTTATTTGTACTATATTAAACAGCTGAGCGACCCAAAATGGAACCCGCTACCCAGATAGCGGTGCATGCACCAACGACAGAGAGACCAACTAGTTGCTTACCCCAATTGCTGTCTTCGGCCATTTTGGTCGACCCAACAATCTTCTTCGGGGCCAAGTTCACATGGGAGGATGAAGGCATCTTCTCGGTGGCATTCTGAACGGAATCACCAATGATGGCGGAATACTCTTCGTCACGCTTCTGCCATTTCTCAACCAGTCGCATAATCTCAGCCAGGTCTTCCTTTAGAGAGCCAGGTTCGGTTGCGTTGGCGTTCTCGACTTCCACATTCTGAACGTTGCCGAAGAAGTCAACCACAGTTCGAAGGCGACCTTCTTGTTCACCGCCAGGGAACAAATCCCACCGGACACCTGGCTGGGAGTGAATCTTCGACTCGTCGTAGGAATCGAATAGATCTCCCAAGTTGAGTTTGGAATTGGCGCTTGTAACCTGCGTTTCAAGGAACTCAAGGACATAATATGTCCAACGATCAATCACAGCGACACCCACATCATTGTCCGCATGATGGGAGTAGGAAGACTGGTCAAGCTCGCTGGAGCCGGTGGCCACAATGTTTGGCGAATAGAAATGCGTATACATCGTGTTAGCCTGGCAAGTATCGATCATGAACAGTAATTCGTGGTAGCGCTTCTTTTCCCACATTTGTCCAAACGCGTCTGCCA